CGTGACTGCTCGTCGCCGGGCGCGCTCGTCCATGTGACAAACATGCGTTGACATGAGTTACTAAACTTGTACCAGTCGGTGTTGCATTTGAACACCCAAAGTTTCGTAACGAGTGAAAGTTCAAAATGCTAATTAGAGTAATAACTCAGCTGGTTGGTTTGTTGCCTGTTAAATATCTATCGATCACACTAAAATCTAAGCTTGTCACCGATTGTATTTTGTCAAAATGAAGTGTGTTTCATGAACTTGATAGCTTGGTGAATGAATGGAGCAAGTTTATGGTCGTTATCACATGATAATCAGCTAGGGTCATGCGCGTTGCGCAGCTCTCTGTGTTTGTGACGACACTTTTTATCGCAGCTGCGCTGCTGCATTCATCGCGCGCCGCCGCCGCTGAACTTGCATAAAAGCAGCAGTCGAGCGTGATACCGGTCGGTGAGAACTGCCGATCTTAGGTAGGTCAGTTCGTGATATCGTGAAAAACGGACACCTTTTAATCAACCTAGCGCCATGTTTGTGCACCATGACGTGTGCAGTTTGAATTGATTTTTTAAAAATATTACTCACCTAACTTGGTCAAAGCTCAACGCCAGACAGCGGTCACAGACGGAAGACTTGGTGAAAAGGTAGGCCTGAGCCCTAACGTTGGCATGCCTAGGACATACATGTAGGCCTAACTAGGATCTAAGGATGTTCTTTATTCTTGCTTCATTCATCATGTCTTTTGAATATTTTAAAAAAATTTTGCCATGTAGGGTCCTGTTTGTTATCACATGAAGGTGTCAGGATGCAAAAGTGACATTCGTTGTAACTTGTATCGGCAGTTACACCATGCAATTGTGCATGTAGAAAGGACACACTTTCTCCATGGTTACACTGGCCTAAGCTAGGGGCAGTAGGCATGGTAGGGCCTGTCATGCCTGTTGTACTACGAAAGCTGTGTTACATTGGCCAATTGACAGTTTTTCTGATTGACACATCATGCATGTGTCAAAGGCCCAGTGTACCCCTAGAATTGTGAGGAAGGAACTCTTGCTGCTTCACTGAGAGTATTGGGACTGCCTCCGTCACTGTTTCCAACTTTTCATTGCTTTGTATTAATGCAATGGGATTCTGAATGTGCCCGTTTATTCTGTCGGAAACTGCACCTTTTCAATCAAATCTTCCACAACAAAACCATCCACTCTAAATAATATATCATGAGGCCCAACCATGCTAACATGCGATCATGATAGGTTTTTGACCATCTAAAATTCAGACCTATTACTTACTGTCTTGCCTCTCTCCAACAAACGATCCACACATTTGAGCTGCATACTGGCATGACTGCGGTGCATGTCAGTTGGCATGTCAGAAGACTGGTTCCTGTCCTGTCCCAGCCCTCCGAATATATATATATATAGGGGCCTAATAGGGATGGCGACCAGTCCAATGATGTACGATGCATGCATGGCTTATTGGCAACCTTGACTCGGTGGGTCCTGTGCGCATTTCTTTTCGGGGAACCAACATTGCGCGGCAAGATCGTACCTTTGGAAATAAGGTTGCGTTATTGGACTGGTCACTGTCCCTATTACTGGACTTGACGGGAACCAGTCCTGCATTTAACAGAGGTGTGCCACAGAACGCAGCTCAAATATGTGGATCGTTTATTGGTGAGAGGCAAAATTGGGG